TGTCCTTCCTCATCAGTCTCCTCACCGCGCTGCCGTCGCCTACTTGCCTGCTTTTGCAGGTTCTGGTTCTGGTTCTGCATATACTGCTGGATAATGTGCGTGGTGTTTAGAGTGGTCACAACTGCCGCAGCGATCTGAGCGGGCTCCATGCTTGCCGTGGTATGGCGTGAGCAGGAGAGCAGAGTGGTAGTGGAAGCGGCGGGTGGATGACGATGCTGACAGCAATATGGCGCCCGCATGGAAAAAGGCACGAAACTATTGTTGACCATTGCTTTCATGAAGCAAGGGGTAGGCTGGCAGCAGACGGTGCAGTACGACTGCTAGCCGTCGTCGTCTCCTGGGTGCTCGCCAGCAGACAGTGCAGTATGACTGCTAGCTGTCATCGTCTCCTGCGTGCTCGCGGTGCTGCTGGCTGGGAGAGCAGCCTGAGGCAGAATGGCCCCCTCAAGGATTGAGCTCACAACCCTGGGTTTAGCAGGCCAATGCTCAAACCACAGAGCTATCCCTCTGCCAATATTCCAGGCAGGACTGAATCTCCATTAGACAAAACTCTAAGAAGAGAATGACCTGAGTCACTCCCATTTATGTCCAGGTGCCCCTGACAGACCTCACCGAGATCTGCCAGGAGCACCCATGTCTGCCCAGGCACCCCTGACAGACCTCCCCGAGACGGGCCAAAAGCACCCAGGAGATGACGAGGACGGCTACCAGTCATAATGCACCATCTGCTGCCACAAGGCAATGAGCTGCTGTTGTGTAGCAATGCAGTCCCGCGTCTGCCAGCACCCAGGAGACGTACGGTGACGGTGAGCTGTATGGCATCTGCACGGGTAACCCAGGAAAAAAGGTGTGAAACGATTGTCTGCCATTGCTTTCACGGAGGGAGGGAGGGGCCTGATGACACGTACCCAGAACCACCAGTGACAATGTTTTTTGCCCCATCAGGCACTGGGATCTCAACCCAGAATTCCAATGGGCAGCGGAGACTGCGGGAACTCTGGGATAGCTACCCACAATGCAACGCTCTGGAAGTCGACACTAGCCTCAGTACTATGGACACACTCTCCCGACTTAATGGTCTTAATGGTCTTAAGTGGGGACACACACAATTGACTGTATAAAATCGCTTTCTAAAAAACCGACTTCTATAAATTCGACCTAATTTCGTAGTGTAGACATACCCTTAGAGATTCACTACCAAAGGGATGCCCAGTGCTCAAATCACTCTCAGGGACAGGACGGAGTGCCAACGCAGAAGCTGTGAATGCAGTTGTTCTGGGATACCCCAACATAATTGAAGCACTGGAGAGCATAGAGAATGATGAATCTCAAAAATCAGCAACAAGAAAAGATGAGAAGATCCTGAGTGATGCAATGCGCACTTTGGAAACTGGTATTTTGTGTGAGGTCTGGAATGATAAGAACACAAGAATGGCCCTACTGGGTCAGACCAAGGCTCCTTCTAGCCCAGTACCCTGTCTTCCAACAGTGGCCAGTGCCAGGTGCCCCAGAGGGAAGGAACAGAACAGGCAATCATCAAGTGATCCATTCCCTGTAGCTCATTCCTAGCTTCTGGCAAATAGAGGCTAGGGACACCATTCCTGCCCATCCTGGCTAATAGCCATTGATGGACCTGTCTTCCATGAACTTATCTAGTTATTTTTTGAACCCTGTTATGGTCTTGGCCTTCACAACATCCTCCGGCAAGGAGTTCCACAGGTTGACTGAGCGCTGTGTGAAGAAATACTTCCTTTTATTTGTTTTAAGCCTGCTGCCTATTAGTTTCATTTGGTGACCCCTAGTTCTTGTGTTATGAGAAGTAGTAAACAACACTTCCTTATCTACTTTCTCTACACCAGTCATGATTTTATAGACCTCAATCATATCTCCCCATAGCTGTCTCTTTTCCAAGCTGAAAAGTCCCTTTACTTCAGCCATTCAGCAGGTGCAGTCTGAGCTTGCAAAATGCTCAAATTGACCTTTCCATTGCTGTAAACCTAATGAGGAGTCTTGGAACTGTTCTTCAACAAATGAGGGATAGTTTTGATGACTATGAAATTCACGGGTCTGCAAGGACTGCTAACCATGAGTATAAGTCAGCCAAAGGCTGCAAAAGACAGAAGACATGCGACAATGCAATTGCCCACTCCTTCAGTGACAAGGAGGCCTTCACAGTTAATACCTTCATCACAATCAACAACAAACTGAAGAGTTCATTAGAACATCGGATTGAGGGTTATGAAAATATTGACAAAATCTTTAGTGTCCTGACAAATTTTTCGCCTAACATTTCAAGTTCTGAAGTCAGTGAAGGTATCAGACGTCTGTGTCAGAAGTACCCAGACAATCTCCCAATAGATTTTATTAAAGAATTTCTTCAATTTGTTGAATTCACATCACCCTCAGATATAGAGAGAAAAGATGACGAAAGCAAATCTATTTGGATGTACCGAGTTATCACTGAACCCAATGTGATTGAATGTTTCCCGAATGTTGAAACTGCCTTGGAGCTGTATTTGTCAATAATGATCACGAACTGTAATGGAGAATGTTCCTGCTCTCTTCTAACACGGGTCAAAAATGTCCTCGATCCACCATGACTCAAGAGCATCTCAGTGCTTTGTCCCTCGTGAGCACTGAGCATGAAATCATCAGGTCTTTGAATTATGATGACATCATTCATTACTTTGCCACAGCTAAAGCTACGGGGAAAAATGTGTTTATTTGAAGAATTGAGCGTAGTGAGAGTATAATTCCTTCTAGCCTCCCCCACCCCAACACACTGAGCTCCGGAGAGCCTGCCCAGGGCATGAGCAAGGCCAGAAGAGCCAGCTCCCCGGAACTGCCCAGGGCAACTGGATCACACCATTTCACCATCCCCAGCATCAGGTGGCAATGAGCTTGTTAATTTTACATAAATAAATAATATGTAAATATGTATGTAGATAAATGTTTGATGACATCATAATTTTTTTGCAATATGTAATTCATACTTAGGCCCTTCCCTCCCATTAGACTTAGGCCCCTCAGAACTTTAATCCAGCCCTGGCTGTCTGGGGGCTAACCGAATGTAGGTGGCACGGAGTTGACACCCAGTTAAGCACAAAACTTCTTCTGGCTGGAGGCCGGGGGGTTCCAAAGTGACTCAGACCTGGACACCCCAAGAACCATCACGGGGGTAAGAGCTGCAGCCTGGAGACTGGTCTCCGCAGGCCATTTCCCCCCAAAGACTCTGAGCTGCAGGAGGCTCTGTCCAGGGATTGACCCAGCCCCACTGTCCCCCCTCCCCCACACCCCAAAGCACCTTAACCTGCAGGTACCGGAGCTCCCCATAGGAGGCATTGGTAAGGCATGGTGGTGGCATCTCCCGCACCCTCCAGCGGAAGGCCCGACACGGCCTCCTGGGTCAGCACCAGCCACGGCATCCTCAGGCAGTAGGCAGCCCCCGCCAGGTAGGAGGCACTACACACAGCCAGCCAGTACAGGAGCTTGGAGAGCTTCATCAGGAGGCGGGTGGGCATCCAGCATGCGGAGGCCACAAGAGGCCAGAACTCTTGAAATCTGAGACAGGTGGATCCTTCGAACGAGGGGCTGATGTCTCTTAGAACTGACTTGAGGTGAGAAAGCTGCTTAGACAGAGCATAACTTGCTGAAGTTAAGTTTTAGGCACTAGACAGCATGTTTGGCTTCAGAGTAGCAGCCGTGTTAGTCTGTATTCGCAAAAAGAAAAGGAGGACTTGTGGCACCTTAGAGACTAACCAATTTATTTGAGCATAAGCTTTCGTGAGCTACAGCTCACTTCATCGGATGCATTCATGTTTGGTTTGTAACCTTTCCTGTCGCTTTCACTCTGACTTGAAATCACTTAAGCCTCTGTTCTTTGGTAATAATCTAATTTCTGCTTTATTACAAACCATCTCAGTGCTGTGCATTAAAGCGAAGTGTGAGTCCTCAGCTAACCTGACTGGCTGGCGTGGGCTCTCTGGAGGCAGTGAACGTAACAACTTCTGTGAGCGTCACAGTGAGAGACACTGCACACTGCAGGGAGCCATCTCTGGGGAACGCGGGAGTTGGGGCTCAATGACTGGTACCTGCAAGGCAAGGCTTGGACTGGCAGAGTCCTGGAGAGTTTGCTGGCAAGGCTGATGGGCTGGTATGACCCACAGCTTAGCAGCTGCAACGCTCACCCTTGCTGAGGCAGAGCGATATCACAGTGGCTTGCAACTCTGGGTGACCTGAGCAAGATGTCACACAAGCACACATACTTACACACGTGCGCACACACACAACACACTGAAAACCTGTGTGCACAGGCACACACACTGCACACATGCACATGCATACACGTTGCACGCCCACTGCTCCTTGCCAGAGGAGGGCCCCTTCTTGTTCTCTTTGTGACGTGCCACCTCCCCAACCTTGCAGTCCTGGGAACCGCAGTGCTGCAAACACTGGAAATACATTTACATATAAGGGGGAAAAGCCGGTCGGGGAGATGAGCACTTAACAATCCTGACAGGGGATGGCACACGTCATCCCAGCCAGTGACTTCGCATCAGATTGTCATGGTTCCTGGTGCCTGCTGAGCTGGGGTCACATTCAAGCCAGTGACCCAGAGACTATCCAGTCCCCTGTCTGAGGGTTGCAATCATGAAGGGCTGGGGACAAGAGTCTGAGCAAGGACTCCTGGATTCAGTTCTTTATTTAATCCACCCCTACCCTGCTGGGTGACCATAGGCAAGTCACACCCCTGCTCTGTGCCTCAGTTTCCGCACCTCAGTCAAAGTGGGGATGGGAGGGTAATGAGGGGGCCCTTGAGAAGCACTTTGCTCTGCTCAGCCGGGTGATGGCGCTGGGACACTCAAAGGGGAGCCAGGCTGCAGTGACACTGAATCACGTTCCCATGACCAGCTTTATTGGAGGGGGATTTTCCGTACAGGAGCAGAGCAGCACATTGTAACTACGGGGGCTAGCGAGCCACCCCCCCGACAGAATGGTCTCTGCTGAGCCACCCTCCTGGGCACAAGCCGCTGCAGCCTGCTCCCTGGGCAGTCTGAGGGCCTGGTCCTGGGTCCTGGTGGGATGTGTCGTGAACTGGGTCATTTCCTGGATCATGACCCAGGGTCGGGAGTTCTCACTGCAAAAGCAAAGAAAGAAAACACGGGTTTGATCCAGAGTGTCCAGGAAATGCCCAATTCCTTCTAGCCTCCCCTACCCCAACACACTGAGCTCCGGAGAGCCTACCCAGGGCATGAGCAAGGCCAGAAGAGCCAGCTCCCCGGAACTGCCCAGGGCAACTGGATCACACCATTTCACCATCCCCAGCATCAGGTGGCAATGAGCGAATCTCGGCTTCCAGTTAGAAAGCCCTGGGGGTTGGAGAGAAAAGCGGGAAACCGTGACCCCAAACAGCTCAGGAACCATAAGGTGAGGAGCCAGAACCCAGCACTGATCAGCTGGAGACATCTTGTGCTGTCTGAGCCAGCCTCATGACTTTGGGGGCTGGACTCCCCTGGAGACTGCGGTGGGCAATCCCTGATGGAAGCCCTTGCTGCTGGGGCGGAGGGAGCACAAGACTGGCTTGGAAGCCTTCAAAGCTTCTTCACACTCCCACAGCCCCATTAGCAGAGTGTCCCCTAGTGGAGAGGGAGTGCTGCGGAGCATGTGGGAGAGGTCTCACCTTGAAGCCCTGCCATGTTTGGATCTCCCGGTAGAGTGTGTTCCCCGGGCACGCGGTGTGCACCATCTGCCGGTGACCATGCACTGTGTAGTTGGCCCAGATCTTGGCGCCCTTCACTGCGCACAGCAGGAAGTTGTCACGCACCAGTGTGAGGGCAAATGCCTCCGGCAGCGTGTCCATGTAGTCCCCGATGAAACCCACGCCGTAGCCTTTACTGTTGTAGCCACGGGTGTGAGCGCCAACCCAGTGCCAACCCCGGCCCTGGTACATGTACCCATCTGATCCGACCACGAAGCTACAGCAGGGCAAGAGCAGACAGAAGCTGAGGAGACAGATCCTGTTTCCCTTGCAGTTTGGATCTGGGCTTTCAGCCCACTAGAGAGACGTGGGTTGGCTGCCAAACAGGGGTGCCAGTCCAACCCAGGGAGGGTGGATGGGATTCCCCATGCCCTCCTGGGTGCCCACAGGGCTGGGGGAAGGCAGCTTTAATTTGCAGCCAGGCCTTTATAAGGGGTTTGCACAAATTCATTTGCCCCCTCCTGGCCCTTTTTTGGGTGGCACTGGCCTGCTGCCCTGCATATGTCACCTACAAGTCCTACAACACTCCCTTCAGCAGGGCTCTCCCAGCACTTGGGACTGAATGGGGTCGTGCTCATGAGACCAGAGCAAGTCTGGCTGTCTGCACAAGCTTGGCAGAGCCTGGGGACAGAGCCCTGTACTGGGCATGTCCCTGCCCTCGGGACATCAGGATTCATAGCATTTAAGACCATAGGGGACCATTCAATCATTCTGTATAAGCCAGGCCAGAGAATTTCACCACTTACCCCCGCCTGGAGCCCAGTAACTTGTGTTTGGCTAAAGCATCCACCAGCCAGGCGCCCAGCCTGGCTTTGGAGCCATCAAGAGATGGAGAATCCACCACTTCCCCTGGGAGTTTGTGCCAGTGGTTCATCCCCCTCCCTGGGAAATACTTGTGCCTGATTTCTCATTTGAATTTGTCTGGCTTTAGCTTCCAGACACGGTCTCGTTGCGCCATTCTCCGCAACAGCCCGGCAGTACCCAGTGTTCTCTTATATACTGTCAACAAGGCCCTGCTCTAACTTCTTTGTGATAAATTAAACCGATTGAGCTCTTCAAGTGTCTCGCTGTCAGGCACATTCTCCATCCCACATGTCATTTCTGTGGCTCTTTCCTGCACCTTCTCCTATTTTCCCACATCCTTTTAAAACCATGGACACCTGAAGGGGGCGCTGCATGCCAGTGTCGGTCTCCCCAGTGCCGTAGCCAGAGGGAAAATCGTCCCCTACACCTGCTCTCAATTCCCCTGTTTACACATCCAAGGGTCGCAGTCACCCCTTTTTTTGTGCCACAACATTCCACTGGGAAGCTCATGTTAAGTTGTTTGTCTGTTATGACCGCAAAATGCTTTTTGGCCCCTGCTCTCCAGGATACAGGCCCCCACTCTGTAGTTTTGACCTTGGTACTAGACTGGAGACCTTTGCATGTGACTGCATTACAATGCATTTTGTTTGAATGGACCCAGGTTTCCAAGCAAACCAGATTGTTCTGTATGACTGCTCTGTCCTCATCATTATTTCTCACCCTGCTAATCTTTTATTAGCAGTGATTTTTTATTTACTTCCGATCCGGATTGATGAAAACGTTGAATAGCGTCAGGCCCAGAACCAATTCCTGTGAAGCCCCCTTCGAAACATTTCTATTTAATGATGATTCCCCATTGACAACTCATTTTTGAGCTCTGTCATTTAGCCAGTGCCTGATCCATTTAACATGTGCTTTATTAATATGGTATAGTGCTGATTTTGTAATCAGAATGCCATGTGGTACTAAGTAAAATGTCTTTCAAAAATCTATTACGTCTACATAGCTACCTTTGTCAACTGAACTTGTAATATTCTCAAAGGATAAAATCTGGTTTGTTTGACAAGACCTATTTTCGATATAACCACGTTAACTGGCATTAATTATATTCCTATTGTTAAATTCTTATCAAATGAATCCTGTATCAGGTTTTTCCTTAGTTTGCCTGAGGATGATGTTGGGCTAACTGGCCCATAGATACCCAGATCAGCCTGCTTACCATTTTTGAATATTGGCACATTAGCACTCTTCCAGTCTTCTGGAATTTCCTCAATACCCCATAATTTATTAAAAATGAACATCATTGGGCTGGAGATCTCCTCAGCCAACTCTTTTAGGATTCTTGGATGCAAATTATCAGGGTCTGCTAAGTTAAAATGTTTACCCTAGTAGCTGTTGCCTAAAATCCTTCTTCATCATCCTCATGTGATTCAAGATCATCCTGCTTCTTTCCAAATACAGAACAGAAATCTTTAATGTTTAATACTTCTGCCTTATTTGCATCATTATGAACTATTTTACCATTTCATAGAATCATAGAATATCAGGGTTGGAAGGGACCTCAGGAGGTCATCTAGTCACTTAGGGGGAGGGATAGTTAGTGGTTTGAGCATTGGCCTGCTTAAACCCAGGGTTGTGAGTTCAATCCTTGAGGGGGCCATTTAGGGACTGGGGGCAAAAATTGGGGATTGGTCCTGCTTGGAGCAGGGGGTTGGACTAGATGACCTCCTGAGGTCCCTTCCAAACCCTGATATTCTATTATGCTAACCCCCTGCTCAAAGCAGGACCAATCCCCAATTTTTGCCCCAGATCCCTAAATGGCCCCCTCAAGGACCCTGGGTTTAGCAGGCCAATGCTCAAACCACTTGAGCTATCCCTCCCCCCCAAAAAATCTGGTCCTAAGTGATTTGCCCAAAACCACTCAGGAAGCATGCAATAGAGCAGGGAATTGAACCCCCATCTCTCAGGGGCTATGCTAATGCCTAGACCAGTCTTCCTCTTACATCTCTGTCTAGTGATGGGCCTATGTTATTGTTGGGATTATTTTTATTCCTAATATACTTTAAAAACTTCTTATTGTCCTTAGCCCTGCCAGCCATGGATTTTTCTCTGGTGTCTTAAGCTTCCCCTATCAATTTCCTACCATTCATAACTTCTCATTTATATTGATTGCCATCCATTTCTCTTTTTTCTGTTTGTTATATGTTGCTTTTTTATTTCTAATTGTTGCTAGGTTGGGCTTTTAGCCACAGTCACTCTCTTTCTGGATTGTGGATTCATGGTGTTTTGGCCACCTAATAAATGATTCTTAAAAAACTCCCAATTTTCATTCACTTTTTTTCTGTCCAAATGTTTCCTCCCCATCAGTTTGGCTCATCCTCTCCCTCAGTTTGGGGAAGCTAGACCTGTCGAAGCACCAAGATTGTATATTGCAGTGTATGTAGGGCCAGCTCCTGGGGTCAGAATCCTGCCTCAGGGCCTGTCCTGTACTCTCATGTTGGGGGCTGTGTTTGAGCCATAGGAGGTTAGTGGCCTTTGTGGAGCAGAGAGTGGCTCTAAGGTGGGGACAGGCATCCAGACTAGGGAGGGGATGGGAAGGGAGAAGTGAGTTGGGGAGGATGGCACTCACTGCCCTTGTCAGGGTGGAATGAAAGTGGCTCACCTATGTGTCATAGCCCCTATTCCTCCAGCAGGCAAAGGAGAGTTGCCTTTATGTCAAGGAGTCAGAGCCCACACTTCCCGGGACTGAGGCCCCCCATGATCACAGTGTGCATTGTAGCCAGGACTGTAAAGGCTCAAGCTGGCCCAGGATCTGCTGCAGGGCTGGGTGGGAGGCCTGGAGCTGAGCCAGGACACAGCAGACGCTGCACACCATCAGTACTATATTTCAGGGATTCAAGGCTCCAGATGGCAAGGCCCCTCCCCCCAGGCTTTCTCATGGGCTGCCCAGTCCCAAACCACCTGATGGGCACTAGCTGAGCCCAGTGCATTCTGGGTAGGCCATGCCCCTGCTCACCTGTAGCCGATGTCGTCCCAGCCACGGTCGACCTGGTGGAAGTGCTGCATGGCCCTCATGTCAGCAGCGCATTCAGGGAAGGTCCGGCAGGGCTGGCTGGGTGAGCTGGTATGGTGGATATACACGAAGCCCAGGGGCAGCTTGAGCTGCGTGGGGGTCCCCTTGTAGGGCTTGGCCCCCCACATGCAGCGGGGGATGATGGCCGGGCATTCTGGAGGCAAATGCACACAGCAGGGTGAGACACGAGCCCCTTGAACCCAAGCCCCTCATGCTGTCAACACAGTTGCCTGGCATTGCAGTCTACGTGCCAGACCAAGGGGAATGGCTGAGTGCTGGGAACTCTGGGTCTGACCACAGTTCTCGCTGTATTCCACAAGTCCCCAACCCCATGTGCCTCAGTTTCCCCCATGATACAGTTGTGTAATGCTGCCCCCTGCCAACCCCAGGATACTGTGGGGCCAAGGTAGGGAACATGCTGCCAGGAGGGGAGGCCTCGCCGGGCTGCTCGGAACATGTGTCCCCCTAGCAGAGAAACATTCAGTCCCTTCCAGCAGTTTGGGGTTTTTTCCTCCACAAGTTTTCAACAAAATGATTTGAAACAAACGTTTATTGGCAGGTTCCCCTCCCCCTTCAGGAGAAGGGAACAATGGGGGGAACCCACCCCCAAAGGGGTCTGTTTTGAATGAAAGAGGGGCCCAAACACAGAACCGGACCCGAGCCGCACTGTCTCCCTGCAACGGGCAGAACCGGACCCGAGGCCCAGAGCCGCACCATGACCTGCAATGGGCAGAACCGGACCCGAGGCCCAGAGCTGCACAGTCTCCCTGAATGGGCAGAACTGGACCGGAGGCCCAGAGCTGCACAGTCTCCTGCGATGGGCAGACCCTGAAGTGCAGATCTGGGGTTCCAGAGTCTGGATCTGAATGGGAACTCCCCACAGCCCGGGAGCTGGGATTCAGCAGGTGGTGCTGTAAGCCCCATGTGGGCCAGGGGGTGGTGTTTGCTCCGGGCTCATTTCTAGAACCATGTAGCCCTGTTAGTGTAGCATGGCCCTGGCTGGTGAGGGGAGAGAAATAAGCACCTACCCAGGTAGGCCTCCGTGAACTCCTGCACCGCCCGGCTCGCAGTGGCCCGCAGCTCCTCATCCCCAACCCCGCTAAGCAGTGGCACCATCCGGGGCAGCACCCGCAGCAGCTGGAGGGAGCGCATCACCTGCTCCTCTAGCTGCCTGGCCTTGGTGAGCTGCACAAAGTTCTGGCGCCTGAAGTTGCTCCTGGTCTGGCCATCCCCGGCCAGGCCATCCCCAGTGTAGTACTCTCTCAGCAGGGTGCTCATCGGGGCCACGGACATGCCTTGCCCTGCCAGGTGTGCCCCCAGTATCGCCCCGTCCAGCGCCCCATTGACGAAGGCATCAGTGAGGTGTGAGGGGCGGCCCAGGAGGGTGAAGTTTTGGGGCTCGGACACGCTGTCCCAGCAGCCATTCGGCCCCATGGGCACCTGGCTCTCGTTGGCCTGGGCCAGGAGAAAGGCCATGCCCAGGGCCTTGGCAATGGTCACTGCGTAGAGGGCATCTATAGTCAGGGGCGGGCCCGGATGTGTCTGGTTCGAGGGCTCAGTTGTAACTAGCGAAGGCTCCAAAGCCTCGGGGGGCAGCGGCATCTCCCGCCTCCCCTTCAGCCCTGCTTCAATCCCAGCCACCAAGGGGCTTACAGCCACTGTGGTGCCATCAGGGAGCAGCACCACCCCCTGCTCAGTAGAGGAGGCCTGGACTTTGTGCTTCAAGACACGCATGAGGAAGGATCTCTGCTCCTGGCTCAGGAAGGGCAGGTCTGGGGGCACGACGGGCGCCGCCCCCAGCAGAAGCTGGTAGAACTCGCTGTCACAGCATCCCAGGCCCCGGGCGAGCTCCGTCACGGTCAGGTTGAGGCGTCCGTCCAGGTGGTAAGATTCCAGCACTTCTACGACTTGGATCACGGAGTTCATGTGAAACGGGAGGGAGCCTGGGAGGGGAGGAGCAGGAGATACTATCAGATCCCTGCCTGTCTGCCCACCCCTTGCACTGCTCACCGGGTTGAGCAAGGGCAGCCCAAGTTGGCAAGTTCTGCACTCCCAGGGACGGGTGCTATTGGGGAAAACGGGATAATCTAAGTGCTCAGTCACGCTCTGGGCCACCCGGGCTGAGGGACTGGACCAGTACAGAACAACTGGTGCTATCGGTGAGGAGGACATGGCAGTTTACTGAGGGCTTGTCCACATGGCGCTGGGGTCCGGACTGAGGGGTGTGATCTGCTCTAACGTGTTGTGCTCCAGCTGCCCCATGTGACCTGCTGGCATGCTCTAAGGTAAAGCTCATGCTGACCTAGACCCATTTAAACAGGGCTACATTAATGTGCGCTTGATACCCTTTTGTTCATGCCAGCAGCGTCTACACAGGCATTGAGAGCACTACACAGCAGAGTCCTCTGCAGGTTACACCCCTGGAGTCCGGACTGCAGCACCGTGAAAACAAGCCCTGGGTATAATGGGGGTTCAAGCTGATAATGCGCTGTGCAGCCCAACAGCCCCTACAAACCATCAGACACCCCAGGCAGAGATTGTGGGAATCCTACCAAACCAGCTCTCCCCCAGGCTGGTGGTGGCTGCAGCCAGGGCATCTCCACGTTTTGAGATGGAATCCAAAAGCAAATGAAACCGTTCCTGACTGTGTGGCTGGGTTAAGGAAATTAACAGAGTTCTGCCAGTTTGGAGGCAGTTGAAATGAGGCAACACGGGACTGATCAGTGTGTGGTCTGCAAAATGAAGCAAACCAAACCCGGATATTCACAGACTGATTTGGCTGTAGGATGTGCACAAGAAATTGCTGCGTCAATGGAGGCGGCTACTAAAAATGCCACAGAGTTTCAACAGCATCATGTGATCTGTGCCAAGCAGGGGGTCAAGCAGAGAGCACAACTCAGAGCCCACTGAAAAGATGTTTGCTTTCGCTGTCACAAACTGTCTTGCCATACAAGTGATTGGCTCAAGGACACACTTTGCTGGAATTGCAAGAAAATTGGGGCACACACAGAAGATGGGCTGGTCAGGGCAAAACATGCTGCCCCCAGTGGCAAGGGCAGCATCAGGTGATTTCCGATTCAGCTTGCTGATGGCAATGTGGAGTGCACTGAGGATGCTGGAGTACCTCCCCTGGGGCTTAGAAGACAAGACCTGAAGTGTTATTTGGATTCCTTTGCAGGTGGCAGGAATTGGTAGCATGGAGTGTATTATTGATAGTAATACACTGATAATTCTTTCTGGCCTGCCCTTTCACACTAAAGGAGGAAGAGTACAGTAAACGCCTCACTTAACGTTGTAGTTATGTTCCTGAAAAATGTGACTTTATGCAAAACGATGTTAAGCGAAACCAATTTCCCCATAAGAATTAATGTAAATTGGGGGTGGGGCTTAGGTTCCAGGGAATTTTTTTCGCCAGACAAAAGACATTATATACTGTATGCAGTGTACAGGAATTGAGTAATGCCCCTTTAATAGTTTGGAGCCCTCTAGTGGCATCCCTGTCTTTAGGTTGCAGAAGCCAGCCAGACCCCTGCCCAAGCAGCCCGGCACATATGTTCGTACACCATTAACACACATGCCCGTTTGGGATCCTGCTCTGCCAGTGTGGGGTCCCTGTATTGCTAATGCTGTGTAGAGAGTGCAGACACTGTCGCTGCCCAACTCTGAGGTTGAAGATTTAGGGTTGTTTTGTAAAATAGTTTGAAGAAACGTAAAACTTAAGAGAGACGGGACAATGTGAGCCCCCCACTCCTGTACGCCTGGCATCCCCTGCTATTGTCCCAGGTGACCCCTGAGATCCCACTCACTGAGAGAGACTGGAGGGAATAAATCCCACCCCAGCCACTCCCACCAGACTTCCTCTCTTTCCCAACTGGCTCCTTTGATCTTTAGGCAGCAGGTTGCAGCGAATCACTTTCACTCTGTGCCCCGTAGGGTCACTTTCCCCTTGCTAGTTGGTTGGGTATTTTTTTGGGGGGGGGGCGGAACAGGAGGTCTGCTCGTCCAGCCCCACTGTAGGCATACCCTTAGTCTCAGTTTCCATCTCTCAAACTGGGCAATAGCTCTGCCCGGCCCCATGGTGCGTAAGCGTTCAGGTGTTAAAGATGGAGAGGTGCTCAGACACCCCAGTAACGGGGCCGCCAGAAGTGCCTCAGCGAGCGAGGTAGCTAGATCTTCACAAATTGGGCTTAAATTGATTATATTTCATGTTGATAGGGGCCATTCAAACACTCCCCAGCGAGCGTTCCCATGCTTGGGGTCCTGCCCAGAGCCTGCTGAGAGCGGAACTTTTACTTAAAGACCTAACTTCAGCAGTCCTGGGATTAGGCCCGAATCTCAGCTGACATTATAAAAAAAGATGAGTTTCTAGCTCTCCTGCCAACAGAGGTGACCCCCAGCATGACCCCAATGGCTCCAAAACCAGAACACAAAGAATGAGCACTCAGAATGTTTTGTTTCAGAGTAGCAGCTGTGTTAGTCTGTATTCGCAAAAAGAAAAGGAGTACTTGTGGCAAAATTTATTTGTTAGTCTCTAAGGTGCCACAAGTATTCCTTTTCTTTTTTTCAGAATGTATTGTTTCTTCTAATCTCATGATTTGGGGGGGGGGGGGGTCAGACTCATGATTTCTGACCGTGTGGGGGTGGCTGTGTGATTCTCCTGCAGCCTTCCCAGTCCAGACATTGCATCTGGGGGTACATGAGAGCCTAGGAGATAAATTGACTAGAAGTGGATTAGAAGCAAAGTGAACCTGTCAGAAGCCTGGCCCAGGTCCTGACCTCCTGGCCCCCAGCCCCCTTGCTCGCCCTGAGCCCCAAGGGACGATCAGGAAAGGACAGATGCGATTTCACTCCCCAGTCACATAAACACTCCCTGTGGCTGGTGGCATTCATCAGGGCAGCTCTAAGCTAGCATGAAACCAACCCCTCTGGCTCCAGTGCAGGAGCTGAATGAAACGCACAGGCAAAGAGCCACCAGGGTGAGATTCCCCACCTCTTCCCTGTGACCTGGGCTGGTATCCAAAAGGAAAGCTGTGGTTTTACTCCCGTCCCTTTCAGCCTCTCACCTCACCTGAGCTGCTCGGCTAGCCCAGGGCTGGCCCCACGGTGAGGCCCCACAGAGCAACCACACAGGTCTCCCCACTGCAGAGCAGCTCCAGCTATGCTCCTACCTTTGCCAGGCTCCAGCCAGGTGCAGAGACCCAGCAGCACAGCGAGGAACCTCAGCTTTGTCTGGCACATCTTCTCCAAGGGCAGCGCCAGTCTCCTGATCTTAGGACGGAGCGAGCCACACGGCTCCCTACAGGGACACAGCAAAAATCAATAGACAGGTGTCAAAGTCTCCATCCCCAGGGCTGCTGCGCCCAGGGGAGGGCGAAGGGCAGCACTGTGTACTCCCAGACTTTGCCCCTTCACCTTGGAGCTGCAGGGGCGACAGGTTTGTAGAATTTTTGGTGGTGCCCAGAACACCTCCCTCCCTGGCAACCTCCCCACACACACCTGCCGAAGGCTCTGGGAGGGAGTTTGGGTCGGGGAGGGAGTCTGAGGTTCAGGCGATTGGGGTGCAGGAGGGGGTGGGGGTGCAGGCTCTGAGAGGGAGTTTGGGTGCAGGGGGTGTGAGGGGTCAGGCTCTGAGAAGGAGTTTGGTGGGGGACAGGGTCTGGGGTGCAGGCTCTGGGCTGGGCAGGGGATTGGGGTGCAGGGTGCAGGCTCTGGAAGGGAATCTGGGTGCAGAAGGGGTGAGAGGTCGGGCTCTGGGAGGGAGTTTGGGTGCAGGAGGGGGTGGGGGTGCAGGAGGAAATCTGGGGGCCGGAGGGGGGTGCTTGCGGAGGGGGTGGGGGTGCAGGCTCTGGAAGTGGATGGGAGGGATGGATGCTGACCTGGGGCACCCCCCTCCGGCAGCAGCGGGTCTCCTCACGCGGCTGTCTCCAGGCTCCGCCCCTGCAGCTTCCCATTGGCCGCAGGGGCGTTTGGGGGCGGGGGCAGCGCGCGGCGGCGGCACGGGCTGCAAGGACCCGCCGGCGGCCACGTGGCGCGAGCGCGCGGGAAGCCGCTGAGCCCCGCTGCGCCGCTGGGTGGCGGCGGGAGCCCCGGGCTGCTTTAAATCGCCCGGGGGCGGCAGGTGGGGCCGGGGGGCGGTGGGAAACTTTGCTGGAGCCGGGCCCCTGGGACAGGAATATTCCTGGTGCCCGGGCTCCACGGGCCCATAGAACTCGCTGCCAATCAGGCCTGTCCAGAGTGCATTGCCCCCCGTCTCCCGCGCAGCCCCCCAGTCCATCCCTCCCTGCCCCCTGCCCCCTCCTGTCCCTCCGCCCCATCCCTCCCTGCCCCCTCCTGTCCCCCTGCCCCCTGGTTCCCTGCCCCCTCCTGTCCCTCCGCCCCATCCCTCCCTGCCCCCTCCTGTCCCCCTGCCCCCTGGCTCCCTGCCCCCTCCTGTCCCTCCGCCCCATCCCTCCCTGCCCCCTCCTGTCTCCCTGCCCCCTCCTGTCCCTCTGCCATAGCCTTTCCTGTCCCTCTTCCATGGGGTTCCCTGCCCCTCCCATGCCATCACTTCCTGTTGCTCTGGAGGCCCCAGTCCTGCTGCCTGCACACCCGGAGTAACTCAGAGGAGGCAGGAGGGCACCATGGGGTGCAGTGAGCCCGCACTGGAGACCAGGCAGGAGACCAGAGGGGGCAGTACCCAGCTGAGCCTGCGTGTCACCTCAGGGTGGTGACCCTTACTCTCTGCAGAGCAAGGAATGGAGGCAAGCCAGAGCCAGATGGGGCATCTTACCTGGGGCTTCAGGAAATATCTACCCCTGGCCACCAAGTAGCCATGGCGGGGAGGGGGGGCAGGTCCCAATTCTGGCTGGGACTAGAGCAGATCTTTGGAAACCAGCCAGGCTGGATTGAAAATCCCGGGTGCTGGGGAGTCCCTGTGGCCCAGCCGGCTAGGCTGTGCCAAAATTAGTAATTTGCACCTTATTTCCAGTCTGGGTCTGTTTGGCTTCCAAACCCAGCCTCTGGCTGCTGTTTGACACCTCTCGGCAGGACTGAAGGGCCCAGGGATAAATCGCTGCTCCCCAGGTGGGTGCGTACAGACTGATCACCACCCCACACCCTCGGGTCTGGAAATGCAGCCGGGCCCGCAAACAGCCCTGCCCTGGCCAGCCCTCAGGCTGCCTGCGGAGCTACCTCTGCCAGGCTCCCCTGAACCGTGCCGCTGAATTAGTGGCCATTCAGCAGGGCTCTGCTCCCTGTCCTGGTGCATGGGTCTGACCCTGCTATGCCACTAGGACTGGGCTTTCCAGGGACCCCCAGACTGGCCTGGCTTCTAAGGACACCGCAGTTCTCCCACATTCCTGGCTCATGACGCCATGGGGTGGAGGGGGCGAGCTGAGGGTCTTTGAGGCCCTGACTGAACATTGTCAGCCTGTCCAGCTTGTACCTTGAACTCCAGCTGAATCTCCTGGCCTGGGAAAATCACATCGTCCTTGTCCTGAGCTCACCCCGATTTCCTGCTCTGAGCACTCGGTGTCAGGGGAGGGCAAGAGGTAACATTTGCCTAGGGGGCCTCAGGTGGGGGCAGCAGGCCCCACCCAGGAGGAACCTTGCCTTGGTTTTTTCCCCTCCACCCTTGCCCCTGCAGCTCTTCTCTGTGCTGGAAGGACATGCTGAGTTTCCTGTGGGCTGGGTGGGCACTTTCCCATTCACCACGTGCCAGGCTCGGTGTGGTGGTATGGCAGCTCCTGGAAGGAAATGAGCAGGGCCAGACTGTGCCTTTGGAGCCTTAGCACAGCAGGGGCAGAGGTGGGAAGGGGCAAAATAGGACAGAGATGAGAGAGCTGGGGGCTGCAGGTTGGGAGTGACGGGCACCAGCAAAGCTGTGCTGGGGGGCAGGGCTGGGATAGCTGGGGCTGTGGGTGGGATTGAGGGGCACCAGCAGAGCTGTGCTGGAGGGCAGGATTGAGCTAGCAGGGGCTGCGGGTCGGGACTTAGGGGTACTGGAGGAGCTGTGGGGGCAGGGCTGGGATAGCAGGGGCTGTGGGTTGGGATTGAGGAGAGCTGGCAGAGCTGTGGTGGGAGCCCAGGGCTGGGATAATAGGGGGCTGAGGGTCCTGATGGAGGGGCACCGGCAGAGCTGTGGGGGCAGTGTAGAGCTGGGATAGCAGGGGCTGTGGGTGGGATTGAGGGGCACTGGCAGAGCTGTGGGGGCAGTGTAGGGCTGGGATAGCAGGGGCTGTGGGTGAGATTGAGGGGCACCGGCAGAGCTGTGGGGGCAGTGTAGAGCTGGGATAGCAGGGGTTGTGGGTGGGATGAGGGGCACCGACAGAGCTGGGGGGGCAGGACTGGGATAGCAGGGGCTGTGGGTGGGATTGAGGGGCACCGGCAGAGCTGTGGGGGCAGGGCTGGGATAGCAGGGGCTGTGGGTGGGATTGAGGGGCACCGGCAGAGCTGTGGGGGCAGGGCTGGGATAGCAGGGGCTGTGGGTGGGATTGAGGGGCACTGGCAGAGCTGGGGGGGCAGGGCTGGGATAGCAGGGGCTGTGGGTGGGATTGAGGGGCACTGGAAGAGCTGGGGGCGGTGTAGGGCTGGGATAGCAGGGGCTGCAGGCCGGGATTGAGGGGCACCAGCAGAGCTGTGGGGGCAGGGCTGGGATAGCAGGGGCTGCGGGCCGGGATTGAGGGGCACTGGCAGAGCTGGGGGCGGTGTAGGGCTGGGATAGCAGGGGCTGCAGGTCAGGAGTGAGGGGCACCGGCAGCGGGATGACTGGGGTGCTCAGGGATGGGATAGCAGAGGTTTCAGGTCAGGGCAGGCTGTCGTGCGTAGAGTGCTTGGAGCTGCCCTGTATCTGCCCTTTCTCTGTTCCGTCCCTGCTCCCAGAATGCACCAGGCCCTGGACTGAACTCTTCCCCTGCGGGCTGAGCTGGTTTTGTTTGCTGTGATCCTGTTGGATGGGCAGAGGGGGCAGTGACAGTCCCACCCCAGAGCCAACGCCCATCTCTGTCACCCAGCACCCTTAGCCCCGGATCAACCCAGCCTGGTCAGACGGGTTCATCCTCCCTGCCTGGGGAAGATAAACCAATGACTTGCCAGGGAGGGAGGAAGGGGTGTGTGTGGGTGTGGCCATGGCCGTGGCCGTGGCCACAGCCACACAGCTGCTGTTAGTGCACTAACTTGGGCGGAAGCTGCTGTGTAGATGGACCCTAAGCGTGGAGCAGGTGCTAGGGGAAAACCCCCCAGCCTGGGGATTCCTGGGCACTGCCCATCCCCATGGCTCCTGTGGCTGCCCCGCAGGCCCAGCAATGCCTCTGGAGGGCGACTCGCATTACCTGGGGGAAGAGGTGACCCAGGCAGCAGGGGGTCTGACTTACTGATAAAATTGGCCTCTTCACTCCATGGTGCTCGGCGGGCTGGGTCAGTACCGGCACCTACCAGTAACAGATCGGGGTGGGGGGCAGCCAAGCCCAGACAGGGGAAATGACTCAGTCCAGGCTGCCCAAGGAGTTGGTGGCAGAGCCAGGAATGGAGCTCAGGTCTCCTGGGCAGTGACGATTCTTAGTGTCCACATAGCTCCTGGCATGGCCACGGCACCATGTGGAGATTAGCCAAGGAATCCACACGGCCCCGAGGAGAGGATCCTCCTCGTTGGTCTGAGTTCCTGCGTCACTGTGCATTGCCCAGACGGGGGAGCTGAGGTAAACATGGGGGAGTGGGTCACCCCAGGTCACCGTGACAGAGAAAAACTGAAAGCTCAGGACTGCAGCAGGCGCCCATTCCAACCGAACTGTGCTGTGGGGAGGGGAGCACTCTGTCCAGTGGTGAACGAGGTGTTAGGGGCATAGGTAGGTTCTGGCATTGTACCAGGAATTGTACCAAGCCATGTGTGTGGCACTTTGCCCAGGCCTGGGTGCCCAGCCTCCAGGAGGGATCACTGCTCCAGCTCCGCTTGGTCCCAGAAAAGAGTCTGAGCTGGGCAGGAGAAGAAAGGAGACTTGATCCAGCCTTCATCAACCCCTTCTGATGAATAGCACTTACCTGGTGCTGAGCTCCTGCGGGCCGCTTTTCCTCACAGCCGGACTCTCTCCGCTCAGCTGCCCCTGGTGTTCCTGGGCAGTAGGAGGCTCCAGTGGCTCTTATATATCCTGTGATTAGCCAGGATTGCATGAGAAATCTGCAATGACTTCACTGCAGCGGCACGTCGCCCATTCACTGCACAGCTAATGTCATCTCAGCCAGCTCCCTGCCCCAGTCGGGACTTCCCCAGGGATTCCTGACCTGCTGACCTGCTGACCTGCTGCCCTCCCTGACCTGCCCAGGAAGCTCCCTTGCACCCACTAGCCCCACTCCGCAGGAATTCCCCTGGGCACTCGAGCTGCTCTCTGTAGTAGGAACCCTCTTGGCCATGCTCCTATGGAATGACGATCAGCTCAGCCCTGGATGTGGGGCTGGCACTTCTCCCTGTGGCCATGAAAGGCCCAGGGCCAGGCAGGAAGCATCAGACACACACGGGGCTCTGGAGAGAGCTGGTTTTGCTTGGCTGGTTTGTTCCAGCGGAGCGAGTTAAAGTGAGAGCAGCGTGTGCCCCTGTGCGTGCATGCATCTGTAGTCACCCACAGGCAACTGTCTGTACAAGCATGTGCGTATGAGCATGAATGTATGCGGGTGTGTGTTCACATGCAGAGGTGTGTAGGTGTGTGTGTAACCCACACACCTCCTGGTTGTGGTGTTCTGTCCCATCAAATGGCACTGAGACCACTTAAAGAGAGAGATTAATAAGTTTGCTCTACAGTTTTAGCTAAGAGCCAGTTGGCTTTTAGCTCATGTGATAGAGGCTCATGCACTAAGCTCCAGCGGTCCCAGGTTCAATCCCACCCAACGATGATTGGGGTCTGTCGGTGTTACATGTGCACACATTCAGGTGTGTGTAGGTGTGTGGTCACATGCAGGGGTGTGTAGGTGTGTGTGTGCACCTGCAGGCGTGTATAGGCATGCACACACATGTAGGTGTGTGTACGTGTCTGTGTACTGGGGGTTTGCTGGTTCAGGGCGAGCTGCATCGCTGCCCCATCTCAGACTTTTTGTCTTCACCTGTCTCAGGTGGAATCCTGCCATTATGCCGCTCTCTGAGCAAGCTGCAAGCCGGTGTGTCTTCCCCATGACCAAGAGCCCCTTCTGCCAGCACCTGTTTCTGGGGCCTGGCATCAGAGAATAGAGGGCTTTAACCTGATGTCCGTCATCCTTTGGGGAATAGGGGTGTTCAGAGCCTGCAGGGTAAATCCTAGTGTGGCACAGCCAGATACAGTTTCCACACCAGGTCATGAGCTGAGCTGAGCCCAGGCTTCCCCAGAGTGTCACCTCGCCCGGAGGAACTGTGGAAGCTGCAGCTGCCTGGGCCACTCTAGGATGCGACCGGAGTACGTCACTGGGGGTTGACTAATGCAAGTGAAGGCCACATCTCTTTCCTAATGCAGATGCACACACACACACACCCATTGGCCATCTAGCTGGGTCTCTCGTCTCCAGGCCCCCAGCAGGCTCCGAATCTGCATCAGAGATCCCTTTCCCCCACCTCCAGCAAAGGCCCTGGTTGGTAACAAAGTGGGAATTTTCTGTAATATTTTTATGAGTCCTATTGGTACCTCAGTTTCCCTTATATTTTGCATGGCTACCTGGTGGGGTGGGGAAGGGCTACATTTGCTCTCAGGGCCGAAAAAGAGCTATAGGTGTGTGTGTCGCCTTCCTGACTGGATGGAATGAAGAATCATTATGGAACTGGCTGAAACTGACCCACATCAACAAGGGGGCCAGACAGACAATACCAGCTCCAATGACTCATGAAGTTCCTTTCCTCTCATCAGGGAAGCTGAGCAAAGACTCCAGCTTGAGAGCAAATGATTGGAAGGTGTGAGGTGTGGGGTAAGTGTGAACTCTGGAAGAAGCGCTGGGGCTCTCTCACTTGGGAACTGACTAAGGAGGTCAGACTGAGAGACAGACAGACACAGCCTGAAAATGGGGTTCAGTCATGCTTGGCTGGATGCTGATCTCACAAGAATAGCCTATGTTTTAGCCTTCAGTTCTCTGTGCTGACCTAAGGGCTTCCCATGCAGTGTTCCAGTCGGCTAATAAACCCAGCTGTTTTGACAACGTTGTGTGAGATTGTCACTGCAAATGCTGGGTGAGGTGCATTAATCCCTGCGGAACGGACTGGTCTCTATCAGGGGCTGTCTCAGTTGGACTCACTGAGCAGAGCTCATGGGATGAAGCAGGAGGACTGAAACCCAGAAGTTCAGCCTCAGAAGGTGGTGAGGCTGCATGGCCTGCCCTAAAGGAAGACTGAGACCCCTTGGGGGTGTGGCACATCAGAGGGGTTCCTCCACAAGACTGTTCCAAAGCTGGGGGTGTAGCACCAATCCTGTGGATCTGTGACAGTTGGTGGCAGTGGTGGGATACTGAATGCACCACGAGTATTTTGCAATAAGTGACTTGCAGCAGAAAAAAAAGGGCAGTCAATAGAAACATCAAGGAAATTACATACAAACATCTCTCTAAGACGGATATCACAAACCTGTGCAAGGAGAGAGGGTTAAGTGTTGGGAAGCTCAACAAGGAGCAGCTGAGTTGAATGGCTGGAGAAGGATGGTCAGTCCGAGAAGCAGATTCCAGGCCCAGGAGGGGTTACAAGACGGTCCAACAGTGACAGAGGCAGCAGCAGGGTGTCCTTGAGATCTGGTTCCTCATCGAGCATGGTGTCTTCATGATCAGGTCCCCATCGATGGATTTGAAGTGGTGAGAGTTGGAGCTGAAAGTGAAGGGGCTAGCAGACCATGAGAGGGAACGAGCTGACCGTGAGAAGCAGTGAAAACATGATGAAGAACAGCAAAAACATGAGGAAAAGCAGAGAACGCATGAACTGGAGATGGAGAGATGGAGGGGCAAGGGGACCCACCAAGCGGTAAGTGGGGAAAGTGGGGATGCCAATTCTGCAGGGAACCTAAATACCAAATTGTTGCCCCAGCTTAAGAAGTGTGGGGAGGGGGGGAATATAGATACCTACCTCACTGCCTTGGCAAAGGGTTGTGGTTTGAACCAGACTCACCCTGTGGATGGGCTTTGCTATCTCACCCCCTTACTCTGTCCCAAAGCAATACACAGACAGCCAGGTGGATGGAGCTGATACTGGGGACTATGAACAGTTCAAAATGCTGTGCTGCTTAAGTTCGAATGGACACCTGGGGCTTATAGGAAAAGGTTTTAAAGTGTGCAAAAGACCCAGGGTGTGACCTAAATGGAAGCCCCCACCCTGAGGGGAGAATATCTCCACAAATGGTGTATGGGTGCGGGCGTCACCACGCTGGAGGATTTGTACAACCTGGTTGTGTTGGAACAACTCTATGAGATCTGCCCTCAAAAGCTTAAAGTGTGGTTAGTGGCCAGGAAGCCTCAAGATCTGTGCAGTGCAGGCTGCTTGGCAGGTGAGTTTGGGAATAGCAGGTCCAGCTGTGAAAAGAGACCCAAAGGGACTGGCCTAAGCATGGGTCCAGGGAAAGGAAACCAATGGAGGCTCCTCAGAAGTGGGACTCAGGTAAACCCGAAGTGGGGGGAACGGTGGATGCAGGTAGAGCTCCTCCAAGGGGGATCAGGTTTGCAGGAAAACATGGCATAAGTGGGCAAAATGCCTGAGGACTGATGAAATCAGGCTTGCCCAGGGCAGAGGGGCTAGCAACTCATCCATCTGTGCAGCCAAGAAGGTAGCCTGAGCTCGGGTTCCAGGAGTGTGCCTGTATGTTTGGAGGAAAGCCATCAGACAGACAGCTCCTCGGGGGCCCGGGGGGTGGTGAGAGATGGACTCCCACTCCAGGCATAGGTACACATGTCCTGCTGTCTTCTCCTGGGCTCAGACATCTGAACCCCAGTGGGAGCAGAAGGTCCTGGCTAATGGGAAGACATTCATGGGGTGGAGAGATTCTGGGTCAGAGAGAATCCGTGTCAAACCATGTATGGTGCAACCCCATCAGCTGCTGAAAGGCTTTGTAACCTGCGTGAAGGTCCCAAACGTGAAGCCATTTGCCCTGCCTGTGGCTCAGGTTCCTGTGCAGACACAGGAAGGAGCTGGGGGAGAGGGGTGGACTGGTAGTTGGGGTTCTCCCAGGATATCAGCTTGGACACCCTTTGGGGAATGACTGTATCACTGTAAGACAAAATACAGTCCTTGTGTCTGTACCAGCCCAGGAGTTGAACCTAATCCAGAAGGCTTAGAGTACATGAAAAGGCTTAGAGTTGTGAATGAAAATGCAAATAGCTTTGCTAGCAGGGACGAGGAGGGTTTTTTCCCCTTGCTTGCAACACTGGGGAAAAGCTGCTAAGTTCAGGACACCTTCCTGTCTGTAACCAGACACCTGGATCTGAGTGGGGCACAGGAGGGGCCCCCACCCAGTGGAGATGTGAGTCACCCTGGCTCAGGAGTAACTTCCCTGAAACCTGATGCTGTGATCCTGGGAGCTAGCTCATAGTATGTCCTTACTGGGAAAGTAAAGGCTGGGCTGAGCCTTGTGGTAGCTGAGACCCCAGCTGAATGGGGGAGACACAGGCAGGGAAAGGGGGCCGCTAAATGTGTTTCCCCTGTTCAGGGAAGCAAGAAGCCCCAGAGAAAGGTAAAGCAACTAGAAAGCCACTGCTGGTAACAGAGACCCCTGGTCAGAGTCTGGACATGGCCGGGGTAGGTTCTTTTAACCCAGAGAGCCCCGAAGTGTGTGTGTGAGGGGAGATGGTCTCCTTGCATATGCACAGCCCTGGGGTTGGGACACAGCTCCAGAGGGGTGCTGTCAGTGCACGGAAGCACCCTGCATCCCTGCCTCACCAGCCTCTGGGACATCAGAGCCCCAGAGATGTGGCTGGATTAAGCCCAACCTTGCAGGGGACAAACCTACACTGAGCCTCCCAAATGCTCAAGGGGTCACTCAATAACCTAACCTAGGCATCAGGATACCCCCGGCTGCAGCCACGCTGGCTGACACGTGGAGGAATGTGGGTGCACTCCACTCCATGCACCCTGGCATAGGAGGTGGGAGGAGGTAGTGGCAGGACCCATTCCAGTTTCACACCAAAGGTTTCA